GTTGGTGGCGCTATAGGAAATAGCCGCGCATACCAAATAACCTTACAGAAGATGTGTACAAAAGAATAATATTGAATTCGGCCACTCGCACTACATTGCACTGGTGCACACTCAAGGCTGCTTAATGTTCACCAGTTTTTTATTCGTGCATCAGAGTAGTGTTCATCAGAGTAGTGTAGTGCAGTGTAGTGCGAGTGATCAAATTCAATATAAATGTATTAAGTAAAATAAGTGTATATAGGTTATAAATATTGTGTTTTAATTTTACCATACATTCTGTCAAAAAGCTTTAGTGTATGATCTGTCTAAAATAAATAAAATTAAATATCTCAAAGTTTAATATTTCAATTCTACGTATCCTAAATTAGTTCCAACAATATTTATAATTTCTAGTCAATTTTATATATAAAAAAATATAGCATAAGTCACTTTTTGTGATTATCCTAAATTAGTTCCAATATTTATAATTTCCAGTCAATTTTATATCCATAGAAAATAGGAAACAAAAATTATAAACATAAACTCGACAAGAAATCTTGTAATACACAAAATTAAAATTGACCAGAAATTATAAATATTGTTGGAAATAATTTAGGATACATAGAACAGAAATATTAAGCTTTGATATTTAATTTTATTTATTTTAGACAAATCATACACTAAAGTTTCTAAACAATGGTCTTATAAAACATAGTGATGATTGGTATGATTGTACAAATTAATTTTACAATACATTCTGTCAAAAAAGCACATCATTCGAGACTTTAGTGTATGATTTGTCCAAAATAAATAAAATTAAATATCTCAAAGTTTAATATTTCTGTTCTATGTATTTTAAATTAGTTTCAACAAAATTTATAATTTCCAGTCAATTTTATATTTTATATATAAAATTTATTTTATATATAAAAATGTCAGGAATTAGTAATTGTCCGAACACTTTTAAGCTACAACAAGTATATTCTTGTATAAATAAACGTATACAGAAAAACGGTAACTCTAATAGGAACGTAACGGTAGGCGTCTGTGCTGCTTAGAGTGCCAGCAGAGAAGAACATAGATCACAGAAATAGCAGAGGCGAACATTAATGCACTCACTATTTTCCAGTAGTTCCACGGTATTTATAATTTCGATTCAATTTTATATTTTTTCTATCAGATTTGTTTTCTTATAAAAAAAATATAGCATAAGATACTTTTTGTAGTTATCCTAAATTAGTTCTAATATTTATGATTTCCAGTCAATTTTATGTCCATAGAAAATAAAAAACAAAAATTATAAACAAACTCGATTATAAACAAACTCGACAAGAAATCTTGTAATACACAAAATAAAATTAACTGAAAATTATAAATATTGTTGGAACTAATTTAGGATACATAGAACAGAAATATTAAACTTTGACATTTAATTTTATTTATTCTGGATAAATCATACTAAAATCTTGAAACGTGTGCTTTCTTGACTGATTAAAATTGACTGGAAATTATAATATTGTTGGAATTAATTTAGGATACATAGAACAGAAATATTAAACTTTGGTATTTAATTTTATTTATTTTAGACAAAGCATACAAAATTTCTGAAACGTGTGCTTTTTTGACAGATTCTAAATTAGTTTCAACATTTATAATTTTCAGTCAATTTTATCAGAATCAAAACAAAACAGTATTGTTTTACCTTTCAAAAAATTGTCGTACCTATATATTAAATTTAAAAAAGCTGTTGTATATATATTACAAAAAAAGAAATGATATCTATCAAAAAATTACCTTTTTTAAAAAAAGGTAAAAAAGGACGCCAAGAATGTTACTTTAATACTTTTATGCACAAAATAATGAAACAAATAAATTGGTATAAAGAAAACACATTGGTTTAAAAAAAAAGTATGCAGTTGCATGTTGCAAATTACATATTTTTTCTTGAAAGCAATTATGTGTTTTCTTTATATCAATTGATTCGTCTCATTATTTTGTGCATAAAAGTATTAAGATAAGATTCCCGAAAATTGAATGTTTTACAAGATATTTTGTATTTTATGTCAAAATGCTGTAACTTTCAAGCCTCATAACTCGAAAAGTACTTAATGAAAAATAACTTCATTATAGTGTTTTGAAAAGCTCTTGACACCAGCTATTAGATTTTGGAATCAAAAATAGGGTGTTCTATTTAAAAAAACAAAGTTGACCTCCATATAACCTTGGCATGTACACCCTAAGTTAAACCAATGTCATCATTGGATGTCCCCCTCCAAACGCAACAACTTTGATCTAAATCATTTTTCTTGAAAATGTCTCTAAAAAGTTATTCACGTGGGGTTTTTAAAATGGGACACCCTGTATATAACTATTTATTAATTAAAAATAGTCTGGCACTCTAAGCGTTAAAAAAACTAATATGTATAATTATTATAATTAAAATTCTTAATATTTTATATCTATACAGAAACTTTTGGCAAAAGTGAAAGACTTCCTCGAACATTCTGAGTTATGTGAAAAACATATCATACAGAAATATATAAACCGTTATTCGGATTTCTTCGTCTTTGTTGGAATATCTTACATCTTAGCGGCAATAACTTTTTCCTGTGGTCCTTTGTTCTTGCCTATAAATCTTCCAATGGAAGCATGGTATCCATTTTCTACCGATACTTTTTACACTAGAAGTATTCTTTACATTATGCAAGTATTCGCCATCTTACAAACGGGATTCTGTATCACGGTGGACTTTATGATTGCTATGTTCTTCTGGTATTCTGCTGCAAGATTAGAAATGCTGGGACAAGAATTACAACAAATAACACATGAAAATCAAATAAAAACATGCATAAGAAAACATCAAGAAATAATAAGGTATATATATATATATATATATATATATATATATATATATTTAAATAATATTTTTACACTAATGATAATGATAAAAAAGTATTCTTAAATTATGTCATAATAATAGTAAACCCTCGATTTTATGAACCCTGATTTACTGGATTTTGAAAAATCTGGACAAAATCTGAAAACTTCAAAAATATTTAAAACTTAAATGGCCCGTTAGTAATTCATGAGATAACTCAAAGCTTGGCACGATCTGTACATTTCGGCCGATTTCCGTAAGTTAACGTCTACCGGCTCCCCACTACGTCTTGAGACCACGCATACGACGCTCTGCCTCAGGTACAACGCATCTGTAACGCGATGAGGTTCCGTGCTCCCTGACTGCCAAATATCAATACTTTAAACATGATCTAAAACGTTTTTAATAAAAACGTTTTTAATAATAACGTCTTATTCAATTTAAATTAACAATTATTTATTAATTTATAAATTAGAAAGAATCTCTGGAACATTTAACAAATCCAATCTATCGAATATAATTTAATAGTATTTTAGGATTCTTATATCGTAAATCTAATGATCGAGAATTTTGAAACTTTGTTATTGAATTAATTATTAAAAGAAGATTATTAAAAAGAAAAAGATTTCAAAGATCGAGTTTAAAGTATTGATACTTGGCAGTCAAGGGACATCGAACCTCATCGCGTTACAAATGCGTCGTACCTGAGGCAAAGCCCCACGTACGTTGTCTCAAGACGTAGTAGGGAGCCGATAGGCGATAGCTTACGAAAATCGACCAAAATGTGCAGATTGTGCCAAGCTCTGAGGCACTGATGCGATATCGCCCACCGCAGTCCCGGCTCCGCTGCCTCACACAACCTTACAGAAGCGTACGTCATGTATCCGTGTGCCACACGGATACGTGACGTACGCTTAATACGTATAATTTAAGAGATATCAAAAAATGTTTCAAATAGAAGTTGTATGGCTTGAAATAAGCTTTATAATTGTTTAGTTAGATTTTCAAAAAATGTAATTTTTTTTTAATTTACCTCCACCTCTTGTTATTTTTTCAAATTTCAAAATTTTTGTAATGACAAAAGTTGTAGCATTTTTTACGCTGAATTCAACTATATATTAACAATAAATATTATGTTATTGCTCTTCCTTAATTAAATTAATAATCGTGTTGATATAAAGCATATAGAGCAAGAGCTGGATCGAGTTGCTCAAAAATTCAATTTTTATTAAAAATTATTACATACGTTTCGGCCAAGGAATGTGGCCATCTTCAGTGTAAAAATTGATAACGCAAAAAAAACCTTTTAATTAAAGAAGTAGAGAAGCGTTGATGAGAACAATTAATATACACACACACACACACACAAAACGCTCTCCAAACGTAGTTTTTATTTTGACAACGCATCCTCTGATACTACGGGTCGTACAATTATTTGTAGTTAGTCTTATAATATATGTGTGAAGCCACGGACCATCTTGAACGGTCCGTCAAAACTATGTAATGAGAAATTCAAAATATGACATGTGTCCACGGTAGTGAGTGGGACTCAACTGGCCTCAAGCATATATGATTTTATTATGTTCCGAAATCGTATCTTTCAAAAATGAGTCATCAGTATTACACTATATGCGTCACCTATGTCGTCTCGTACATTATATTGGAGCCTTGCGACGAAATTTTAATCGAGGAAACAAGCGCAAGCGTCGTTTGTTCAAACAAACTATTCGATGACACGTACACAGACCACACGTCAGTGTAGTGAGTTACCACTATAAACAAATGCGTACACCTACGTAGATCCGTAGGCTACGTTGATAATATCATTTTCATTTTTAGTTCTATTGAAATGATGGCGTTTTCGCGTCGGAGTTCGTCTGGCACTCCAGCATCCTCTTAAGAAACGATACCGCACGCAAATCAAGATACAATATTCGCAAAACAATATAGGACAATATTCAAAAAACGATAATCAAGAACGATACTCCAAAAAACGATACTCGAGAAACGGTCGAAACGGTACTCAAAACGATATTCGGAAAACGATACGCAAAAACGATAGCCGAAAACGTTATTCAAAACGATACTTAGACACAATAATCGGAACGCAAAACGACACTTAGAAACGGTAATCGAAACGATACGGTAACAGACTTGCCAGAGACGTTCATATTTCCTCCAAAGCCGCGACCTCCGAGATTCCACCGATGCTGAACGCCCAAGAGGATGGACACCAAAAAACACGTTAACGGTGAGAGTCCTGTCAGAGACGCTTCAATTTCTATAAAGGCGTGACTTCCAAACGTCGCTCAGAAACGACGCTCATCCGCAATATCCGTACTAACGATAATACACAAATTTTCTGTGGCTAACATAAATACAAAATGAACGATAATTTCGATAGAGACACTCAAGTTTCCGCGACGAATTGATCGTTACGCTACAAGGCCGAATTCAAACTCTCGCTGCGAAACGGCATTGTACTCCACGCAAATTTCGCGATTCAGATTCTGTACAAATTATTATTAAACAGTATTTTCGTAAAAACAACGGTAACGGTATCTGTCAAATTCGGCAAGACAGGAACGATAACGATACAATTATTTTCCCCGATCGCGAGTGTTCGGACTGTCGACGGCACAACGTTTCAAAGAAGGATACGGTAAAAGCGGTAACCGGGGTTAGCCAACCTCCTGCTGTAAAAGTCACCGGAAAGCGGTATCGGTATTTCACATTTCGATTGAAACAATCGCAAAGTTCTCGCGGTAATGAAATTCGCCGAAGGCGTTAGCTTTAGCCAGTATCACGAAGTTATAGCTACCCTGGGTAATGGCCTTACAAAGGTGGTGCGGCTACGCTCGTCGGGACCCTCCTTTGGAGCTGCTCCTTCCCGGTTGCTGGCTCGTCGAACAGTGATCTTTTGAGGTCCCCCTGGCTCATGTCGAATCTCCGCGCATCGGTCAGCGCACTCTATTTATAATTTTTTCTCGAGTCGCCTGTCGATTGTAAACAGCTCCGACCTCGTCAATTGTTTATTCTTTTCATGGTGGTTGCCAACAGCCTAAAGGACCCCGCATAAACCTTATGGAAAGTGGCCCTCGATGAAATTCGCTGAAATTGCAATATGTTATAGTCCTTGGTGTCCTGATTAAAAGTCTCAATGGGCACGAAGCTTGAAAATTAATAGTTTTTTGTCTAGAGATGTTTGAAGTCCTAAACTTTTGCTATGCCGTGATGACATATCCGTGATATATATATTTTTTAAACTCTTTTAGCAGTGCAATATATTCCTCTCGGAACATTCAGCAGCATTTGTGTCTTATATTAGATGGCTTGAGGGGTACGTTTCCATTGACCTATCCTCGTATTACTTCATCCTAAATTCAGGTAGTTAGGTCTTGTGGTATACGTCTCTTTAGTCTTCTAGTCGTTTTGATTACAGTGAAAAATTACACACCAAATTAAATTATGATTAATAAAATATTTCTGGTATTAAATAATAGTTATAATATTATTTAAATTGTAGACGTTTTTTTTGCTTTATTTTTTATATGATAGAAGTAGTGAAAGTGCAAATTAAAAAAAACAAAATTGTTAATTTAAAATAATTTTATTTTATTATAATAATATAATGAATAAATATTCGCTAGAGTGAATAAAATAAATGAGAAAAAAAGTATAATAGGCAGGGATCGAACCTGTCGACAGGTCGACAGCGTGATAGCCCAGGGCCTAAGTGCTCGAGCTACGCCGCCATCTCGACAATCGATCGAACAGGACCAGAATATAAGGAACGCCATAAACTTCAAATCAATTTTTCTCGAAAACGGCTAAGCGTTGCGCTATCCTTTTACTCTTCTGATAGAGTACTATACCATATAAAAATTTGTTTGACCCCAAGTCCGCGTCCTCCCCTTGTAAGTATAATAAAGCAACTCTCGAATTTTGATATAAATGAATAAATTAACCTTTTCTTGTGTACAACTATCAGTCTCAAACTTGTATCACAGCACGGTCTATTCTCAGCATGTCTATATATTGTTGCGCTCGCGCCGCGGGAATTCGTTGATTGTGACGTGTGGGCTGCGAGTTGGCATTGAGAAGCGTCGCTTAGTAATTTGTAAATAAGTTGAAAAGCGTCGCTTAGTAATTTGTAAATAAAGTGTCAAGTGTGAGTTACGCTTGGTCCTCGGTGCCGTGAGGACGCGTTTCGGATGTGAGACGGTTTTCTTAATTGTACACAATAGTTCTGTTGTTACATTTCTAATCGTGTTATCGTTGAGTTCATTAAAGTTTGTTATTCTCTAATTGAGTTTATTATTTCTTGCGTGAGTGCATTCGCGAGTAATTGTCGCGAGTGCAACAATATTATTTAGTCAAATCATCGCTCGGTAGTGGACAAAGCTTCTTAACCGGTTTTTTAAATTCACCGTTTCTTGTCTTGACGGTTACCACACGTATCGCTCCATCTTGTCCGGGGTGTAAAGCCATGACTTTTCCTAGAACCCAATTCAGTGGAAGTACATAATCCTTCTTGACTAGAACCACCGTGCCTAATTCGACATTGTCTCCTAATTCTGTCCATTTCTTTCGCTGCTGTAGCTCGTGCAGGTGCTCTTTGTGCCAACGATCTCAAAACTATTGACGCAGTCTTTGCAAATTCTGCCAATGAGATAACCTATTTTCTGGAATCTTAGAGTAGTTATATTGTGCAGGTTGTATGAGTAAATCGCCTATTAGGAAATAGGATGGGGTTAATGCGGAAAGGTCGTTTAGGACACTAGATAAAGGAATGAGGGGCCTTGAATTCATGATTGCTTCAACTTGGTTCAGCAACGTATTGTATTCCTCATAGATGAGTATCCTCCTTTGAGTCACCGTATACAAATGGTGTTTTGCCACTTTCATCGCCGCCTCCCACATACCTCCAAAATGCGGTGCGCGCGGAATAAAATTCCATTTTATTTTTTGACGAGCTAAACTAAACTCTATCTCTGGATTATTTGTTTTCAAGAACATGAACACTTCCTTCAACTCTCTTGCGGCTCCTACGAAGTTCGTTCTGTTGTCAGAGAATACTTCTGACAAGGGGAGGCTCAGGATTTGTCCTCTCCGATTTTGATGAACTTTAAATATATAATAGTACTACCTTCCTATTAATTACTGGTAAAGCCACTCGACGCAACTCTCAAGCATTCGCGAGAAAAATTAGTTTAAACTTTTCCGTGTCCGTAATGTACCCATGCGTGAAAAATCAATCGTCGAGCACTAGTAGCCGTGAACAAAATGGAAGGTCATCATTTCGAGCATTTATTGTAGTTGAATAGTGAGAAGCGAGGGGACTCACCAAAATAAAGTACCCCGATGGTGAGAGAAAATGGCAAAAACTAATTTTCACTGATTACAGCGCAATCTATCACGATTCGAAAAAATGTCTCTGACAAAACTTACGTATTTTTTTCCAAGGAATCCCAATCTGCAATAAAAAATGGAGGTTCCCATTTAAAATTTCAAAGTTGCCACTTGCCGCACCCCCAAGGGGCGATGGGAGCGGATTAATTTTTACACAGGCAGACGTCCTCCTTGATAATATTAAAAGTTTATTTGGGACATTTTTTCGTACAATGCTTATTTTTCGAAATATTTAGTTGTCTCAAGTTAAATGGGACACCCTGTATATATATATATGGGGCATTCTTTCTCAACTTTACACCTATGCTGCCCATTTTCTATTTGATCTAAAAATTTTTGAAAAAATCTTAAAATTTACAGAAAAATGTAAGCTTTCCAATGGCGCGTGGCAAAATTATCAAAT